CAGATGGTTCATGCATGTGCAAAATGACGTTGCCTTTAATTATAACCCAATTAGAGGGGTTTTTCTTAACTTTTGCTTTCTCTAACTGTCGTTTGAAAGAAGTCGTTAATGGAAAATTCCAAATTTCAAGATGGTCAAATTTTCTCACTGAACGTGGGGTTTAAAAAAGAAAACACACCACAACAAACATATTTTTATATCTATCTATACATATATAGAGGTATATTTATTTATCTATATAACTAAACAGCAGAGAGGAAAACCCTGTTCATTCCCCCAGTGCCTCTTGACTGTATCCATTAGCGAGCTGCTGTTAAACCCAGATCTGTCTGCTCTTAAACTGAAGAGGGGAAGAAGTTGACAACTTCAACCATGTTTTGGGGGACTGTCTCGTGTGAAGTTTTAGGTCTTGTGCTGGGAAGGAAGTATGCAAATAATGAGTGATGCTTTTGTGGAGGTGTTTTGATGCTGCAGTGTTGGCTGTGGCTCAGATTCCCCCACTTGTTATAACTCTATATTTTGGGAGGAATAATTTTATCTTGCTTTTCTTGTGAGCTGCATTAGGGTTGCTGTACCAAGCTGGAAGTGAAATCTGGTGCCTGTGTCTAGTAAACAGAAACAAAAAATAATATTCTGTTCCTGTCTTAACAGGCTGTATTATAATACAGGAAGAAAATGATGGATGGCTAATAAATTAATGCATTTTTAGTGTTGGATATTGATTTTGCAATCTCTTATAGTACTCTTCACGTAGGGAGGTGCAAGAAAGCCCCAAACTTTTCCTCTTCCTCCTCTTTTTTCCCTATGACATGTGTAAAACTTCCACAGGCAAATACCACAGATTTGTGATTTGAGGCATGGGTATTTTTGAAGGAATTATCTGGGCCTTATGGCTATCTGGGAAGAGTGGGGGGGGGACTTCCAGATGTTAACTAAGTCATAAATCGATACAGTGCTGCCTTTGTGTCAGGAGACAAATGACCCTTGTGCCTGCAGTGCCTCCAGACTTGCCAACCTACAGCAAAGTGAGTTAGCCCAACGCCTGTCCAATTTCAGAGCTGATGCAGATAACTTCTCTACGGGCAGCAATTAAACTGGTTGAAATTTGGGCCACTGCCACATTGACCAGGAGCACCAGGGTCATCGCTGGTTGTGGAATGCCTGGAAGGAGCTCTTGGATCCTTTTATGGGAGCCACCAGAAACACACATGCAGGAGGAGGGAGTGGTGGAGTGTCCATCTGGGGAGCTGGTGGCACGTGGCTGTGGGGGGCCAGCAGCCTACAGTGACTGCAGCCACCTCTTCCTACAACAGCTGGATGGAGCAGTTTTCCTGGACATCTGGCAAGCATCCACCAGGCACTGAAGTCAAATTATGTGTCCTTGGCACGGGTTAGACAAAAACCTGAGGTAGCCAGACTGACAAGCTCTTGGAGGGCCCAGTAAGCAGGTGGAATTTAGTTGTTAACCTCAGAATACGTTGCACTGGAGCTCTGCTGATTTCAAGGCATCTGTTGAGCCAGAGTCAGGGCAGGTAATTGTGCTGGTGCTCTCTGCTCGAAATTGTTCTATTTTTAGCACAGATAATGAGAAGAAATGTGGTTTTTCTCCAGAAGCAGCGAAAGCCCTGTATGAAGTGTTGCTCACACACACACTTCCTCCACCTACACGTTTGTCTGCAAGTTGTTTGTGCTTTTTTTCTGGGTTTGAGCCTTTCCTACTCGTAGACTCACAAACCTTTGTTGTCTGATCTTCTTGCACGCACCTCACAGGTTCAGCTCATGCTTGTCACTGTTGTTCCTCAGTGTTATGTCTGCATAGGCTGCTTCAAAAATGACTCTGAATCTCTTTATCCCTTTTACATTTCAATAAAAACCCACATTGCTCCCTTTTGGAGTAGGGCTGAAATTCATTCTGTGAGCCCAAGCTACTTAGCAGCTTGGAAAAAAATTGGATTCCTCTTTCAAAACAACAAAAAAGGCACAAATTGAAACACCCAGATTGCATTAGGGATTAGAAATTGAAGGAAAAAAACATTCTTAAATATTTTGGGCAATATTTCAACGACTGTCTCAGGACTGTGAGCAGTCTGGTGGTAGAGTGATGGTGTTAAACGTGTAGAGAGGGCTTTGCTTTACCTCCTGGACTGCCAACTAATGTTGTTGGAAAGTTGTGGGTCCCTTGGGGGCAGCAGGCAACGTATTCAAAGTGAAAGTAGGTTACTGACTCTGCAGAGTGAAGTGGTTTTAAGACCAAATAGCTTTGATAAGTCAAAATAAGCCCCTTTGTTGTTTCTGTTTGAAGTGGGAGCGTGTTCATACAAAGTGGTTTGTTACACAGAATATTCCTTAAATGAGCAGAGATGAAATGATGGCAGGATACATAAAGAGAACATTTTGATGTTCAGTAAATGGGGTTGGAGGTAAAGCTGCCTTGCCATGGCAGGGTTTTTTTTGTTTTTTCTGGCTAGCTGGCAGCAGCATTCTGATAGCCTCCTGATTTACTCGTGCAACATGCTTAATAGGCTGAGGAAATAATGGGGTATCGTTTTCTACCTGACATAGTGATTTTTCTGAGCTTCTGAATAATTCATTCAGTTTTGTTAGAGGGAAAGCTAAGCTGGATTTCACCCAACCCACTCCTGTCTAAGCCTTTCTGGGTGCAGGGTTGTTCATTTCAGGTTGCAATCACAACCAGTTTCTTTATTATTGACTGGCTTTTCCATCTGAAGATGACTTGTGGTCACAAGCCAAAGTTAACAGCCCATCTCCACACCTTTCCTGGCCCTGCTGGCTCCCAGCACTCACCTTCCTGCCTCGACCCTGCAGCTGGGAAGCTGGGACCCAAGACTGCTGAAGACAGAGAGAGAGCAGTGGTGGGAACAGGCCCCACATCTGCAGTGCTGTGAGTCTGTCTGCAAGTCACTTTTGTCAGGCTGCTTTTTCAGTGCATTTAAAAATGCTGGAGAACTGTTCCAAGAATGTTTTAATTCATTCTAAGCTGGTATTCAGATGAGTGGCTGTTGGTCCATCGCTCTCCCCAGTGTTTCACTTCACAATGTCTTCTTGATTATTACAACCATTGATAGGTTCATCTCTTGTTCCATTAAACCCACTTCAAAGGGGGAGATTGCTGGTGGAAGAGTAAAATGTAAACTGTAGAGGATAAATCCATCAAAACATGTTTGGATGGAAGTTACTACATTTGTAGTGTGGAGAGTATTTTAACTCCATACAATGTGGAAGGACATTTACCACAAAAAAAAATCCACATCTGTAATACTGCTTTAGGTTGGTTGGGGTTTATTGTGGCTCCAAAAACACTACTCATAAAAATGGCTGTAGGATTCTGTGAAATCCAAGTGGTTTATCCCTGTCTGCTGGACTTAGCCCAAGCTTATAGCCTCAAGGAATTTTTCAGATTCCGATAGCAGGGATCCAGTTTTCTTCCTCTTTAGCTGCTCAATCCATTTTCTGTGAGGGCTTTTCTCTGCCCTCTGCTCCTGGGATGTCTCTTAGGCTCTGTCCTTAGTTCTCTTCTTCACCCTCTGTTCAGGCTTAGCTCTTGACTGTGCTGCTTGGTCAGGAGGTCCAGTGTATTTCTGATTTCATCTGCACAGCCAAAAATCTTGGCTTGGTGTTGCAACGCTGTGCTCCCAAAAATGTAATTGTCCTGGTGAAAAATAGACATGAGGGCTTTGATTACTTGTATTCATTGGGGATCACGTGGCCTTTTTTTTTTTGCAAGAGGAAGTAACAGTGTCCTGGTCAAATTCCAACTTGGATAGCTGCAAGTGAAATTTAGATGGGCAAATGTAATATTGTTTGGCTCCTGCATTGAGGAGTAAGTGGCTGGGGGAAGGGAGAATGAGACAAAAGAATTAGTGCCTTAAATCAAGAGGCTGTATGAGGGATCTGTGAGGTGGAAAAAAAGCAGGGGACACGGTGTTCTTGCAGCACTAAATCAGATTAAGTTGAAAATGTCACCACTGAAATTCTCCGTGCGTATCTACATGAAGGGAATGTTGTTTGGTGTAATTTGGCCCCTTTCTGGGTGAGGATGGGCTCCCTCTGGGACGTGCAGCAGGAGAAGAGGTATTGCTCTGTGGGTGTGCAGCTTGGGTGATGGAGAAGGGGAATGGGGACTAGAGCAGAGTTTTGGGGCCATGGGTGCTGCCGAGAGTCCAGGAGAAATCCACATCAGCATCTTGGCCCAGCAGCGACGTGACGTTTGGTGGGTGGAAAATGTTCATCTGTGATTTCTGTAGAGCCTAGTTCCACCCGTTTTGGTGCCCAAAAAAGGCTGCACAGGTTTGTACCTAGCTGCCAGCTTTGCTTGAGACAGTGCTGCAGGACAGCCCAGCGATAACACCCCCTGTGCTTTACCCTAGTCGGACAAACTCAAAACAAAAGAACTTGCTGACGATTTCAGGGGGTTGGGATTTTTTTTTTTAACTGACTTTGTTTTTTTTCTGTTGTCTTTTATAGATAAAATGTTCAACAGCTCGTCGACAGCTTTCTCCAGAAGAATAATTACTACTGCTCTGCTCTTGCCATAGTACCAGAATTCTGTGACCTACGCACCAGTGCTGAACCAGCAGAGTCGCGTTCTGTCCCTTCTGTGTAGATGGAACGGGCGTCGCTCTGGGGAGCCCCTCCTGATTTAAAGCTGCTTACTTGTTTTTTTTGGGATTAAAGGTGCTCGATGAATCAGGGCCCCCCAAATGAGTCAAACGGCCAATTCCTGCCAGCAGTTGGTTGAAAACTGCCCCGCGCACGTGGCGGGGATGGCCCAGGAGGACAGTCGCCGGGGTCAAGTGCCACCCACCTTCTATCACGGTGCCAGCCAGGAACTCGACCTGTCCACCAAAGTGTACAAGAGAGAGTCAGGAAGTCCTTACTCTGTGCTGGTGGACAGCAAAATGAGTAAACCACACCTCCATGAAAGAGAGGAGCAGCCATATTTCAGGGAGAACAGATCGGTAGGAGAGGTCCGGGCTGTGAAAGAAGATAGAGAAAACTCTGACGACTCTGAGGAGGAAGAAGAGGAGGAAGATGAAGTGACTTACAAAAGGGAGCAGATTATAGTAGAGGTAAACCTTAACAACCAAACCTTAAATGTATCAAAAGGGGAGAAGGGTGTCCCCTCCCAGTCCAAAGAGACTGCTGTTCTTAAGACCAGCAGTGAGGAAGAGGAGGGTGAGAGTGGGGAAGAGGCCACTGAAGACAGTGATGATTATGAGGAAATTGAGAGGCAGAAGAAAAAAGAGAAAAGAGTGGAAAAAGTTAGTGTTGCACAAAGGAGAACAAGGAGAGCTGCATCTGCTGCAGCAGCCACAACTTCCCCATCACCCAGAACTACAAGGGGTCGTAGCAAGAGTGTGGAGCCCCCCAAGCGTAAGAAGAAAGCTGCAAAGGAGCCCAAGGCACCTGTGCAGAAATCAAAGTGTGAAGAGAAGGAGACTTTAACCTGTGAGAAGTGCCCCAGGGTGTTTAACACACGCTGGTACCTGGAGAAGCACATGAACGTCACTCACAGGCGCATGCAGATCTGCGACAAATGTGGGAAGAAATTTGTTCTAGAAAGTGAGCTGTCCCTTCACCAGCAAACAGACTGTGAAAAAAATATCCAGGTAGGTTTGCTCACCTGCTTGCCAGATTTCCATACCTTCTGTCGTGCCCTGGATACAGCTAGTGGACACTTCAGAGGGGGAAATCTTTTGCGCAGACCAGGTCCTGACCGAGACCTTGTCTCTACGTATCAACACTTTGGTGTCTTCCAAGAGAAGTGAATTGCAGGGAACAGTTGTACACCTGACGTCTGCTTTAGCAGAGTTGCTCTAGTGTTTAACTACGAGTTGGGGAAAACAGAAAGCTACTTTTAACAGATGTCACACTCAAGAATAACTGGCCCGAAAACGAGTGCGTTTGCAGTGAAGTCCTCTGAGGGGACAAATCCTCCTTGTCCAGGTGCTCAGCACCTGCAGCTGTTGCTAGTTTTAAAGTTCAAAGTGTTTCAGTGTCCTGAAACTCGCTCCCAGAGCACATCCAGGTAAGGTTCCCAGGGAGAACAGGATTGTGGCACGTCGCTGGTACTGGCATCAGAAATTTGTAAAACAGCAGAGAGGCAAGCAGGTGAGAAAGGAAACTAGTGAAGTTAGGATTTGAACTTGTGTTGAAATGTGACTCTGGCAAAATCCTACTGAGATAACAATACCCAGGTAATTTACAGTAACATTCACATGTGGCAGCATAAGAGTTCTGTGAGCAAATCCCTCCGTGCTCCTGCCCTTTTCCCACTGTGAAAAGCTCAGTAAATCTCACTGATAATCTACAGATCTCTGGTTCTTCTCACCAGAAGATTTGCAGCTTTTAATTTTATCCAACAATGGAAGCCTGTGTTGTAAGAGGACCGTTTGAAAGTTTGAAGCTGTGGAAAAGAGTTTCTGATTCATCTGTGGTTTGTACTTTGCTCATAGGCATCGATGTTGTCATGTCACTGGGGGCACTGTTGTTTTATCTGACGATTCAAACGTGCTTTTCTTGCCTTGTTAAACCAGGCAGAGTGTTGCCACTTACTTCTGAAATAATCCAGCATGAGGCAGCTTGAGTTCAGTTTTTGTGCAGCTTGAAATGTTGAGAGTTTGTAGGGCAACAAGTTTTTTTGTCTGTCCACTGTATTTTACCAGAAGGATTTAATGGGGTTTTTTTGTTTGTTTGCTTAAATGCTAAACTGAATTGAGATTTGTATCCCACTGTGTGGGAGACAGCTGAAATATTTATTGCAATTTCTCTTTGCTGTAAGACTCCAATTCAGCTCTATGTAACACTCTGCTATTTTTCCTTATGTTTCAGCTCATAGGAGGAAGACTGAAGGAAGGAGTATAATATAAAATAACATGTCTTGAGCATAGTTAGTGAAATGCAGAAACATTTCAGTATGCCCTTGCAGTTTTGGAAGTAAATACTTCAAAAGTTTAGTGTAGCAGAGAACATTGAAATGTAAATTTAAGGACTTGCCCCATCATCCAGGTGGCTCATTCACAGCATAAAAATCTTTTGACTTTTAAACAGGAATTCATGAATACTTTGAAGGTGGGGTATAGAATGGAGAAGTATCCTGTAACCCCTGCACGCCTGTGCTTCTGAGGGCTTGCATTCCTCTGCCCAAAAGTGACAGGAAAAGAAGAAATTCTAGAAATTGTGGTTTATATTCAGTACCAGAAGAATCAGGTCCAGAAACATTCTGAAGCATTTCTAGTGCCAGAAGCACTGCTAGTCATCTTCAAGTTCTCAGTCTGTGCCTATAGTGAACAATTACTTTTGTCTGTCCTGACATTTGGAATGTGTTTCACAGCTGCCTGCTAATGTGGTGTTATTACACTTGGCAAA